GAATAAATTGAAGCGAACACAATATGTCAATGTTCTCTTAATGTAATTCTCCAGGGAACAGACAATGAGTTATATTAGCAACACTTCAAAGTTTGAAAATACTTCAAAATGATCTCTATTAAATTTTAATTAATTTAATTAATAAAGAAAAAAAGTAGCTTAAGGCTTGAATAATTCTGCTTCCAAATGCTAGAATATGGAAACCACTTTTACTGTACCTTCTGATCACACTGCAAAAAAGTGATGTTCTTCTGCTGTTTTTTTGTCTAGTTTTCCAGCGCAAATGTGTAGATTCTTAAAAAACAACATTTACTTGAGAAGCAAAATGACATAAGAAGTCTTGTTTTCTGTACAGCTGAGCAAGATGAGGTGAGTTTATGCTTAAAACAAGAACAAATATCTGCCAATCGAGTCCGAAAAATACACAATTACAAAAGGGAAAACAAAGCTTTCATTTCATTTCACTCGCCTCGTTGTGTTCAATTTTACATTTGCATCTCAAGTAAGTGTATAATGATTAATGTATGTTTAGATATTTGCATTGGAAAAAATACTGAGTGCATGCAGTGCATGCAACATTTAATGCCATGATTTAATGGATTTAAGACTTTCTACTATGATTTAAGAGGGTTTTAAAGCCTTAATTTATGGAAGGTCGAATTAAGACTTTTAAAGACCTATTTAGGACCCGCAGAAACACTGTATTGTGAACACAGTTCAGTCTGAAAGGGTTTACAGGTGCTCGGCTGTGCGTCATGCCTAACAATGCTCTTTAGCCATCACTATATTTAAAATACATCACACTTCTTATACCTCATTGCTAAAATTAAGCATTTAATCCAAATCTTTGTAAGAATACCTCCACTAGTTGCTGCAAAAGTCTATTATTTCATTATTTTAATCTGCATCAGCTGCCTACAACTGATTCCTTTAAGCTTGCCAAGCTATTCCTGGCATAAAATTCTCACGCAAAGACAGTCGGTCCGTTAATAAATGACAGTAGACCTGAGGGAAGAGAGAAATGAACAGTGAGCGCAGAATAAAGAGTTAAAGAATGAGCTGGAATAATGGAGTGTGTAATGGCTCATTTTCACAGTAGTATTCATTCACTCTCTGGATTCATCTTGGAAAGTAACATTTGTGTGGACAAACAAACTCAATCATGCTATTATCATAAAAATCCCATACTTACGTTTGAGATATGTAGTGACCAAAAACAAACAAACAAAAAAATAATGAAATTAAAATAAACTTCTTGAAGGTCGGCAACCTATGTCTGTCTGTCTATCTATCTATTCTGTATGCATGCACATTCATACATTTATTTTTTCTTAATTTTACATATATACATTACCAGTCAAAAGTTTCGAATACTTACGATTTTTTTAAAATGTTTTTAATAATAATAAACAAGTTTATGCATTTGTTAACCGTTATATAAAAACAAGTATTACAGGGTTTCTGCAGGTTTTATGAAGGTAAATTCAAGACTTTTTAAAGACATTAAGAGATTAACAAATTTAAGGAATACATGCATTTTTTTATGTTTTGAAAGAAGTCTTTCATGCTCACTGTGACTGCATTTATTTGATCAAAAATGGTAATATTGTGAAATATTACAATTTAAAAGAACTGTTTTCTATTTGAATATATATATATATGTAATTTATTCCTGTAATACAAAGCTGAATTTTCAGCATCATTACTCAGTCTTCAGTCAGTGTCACATGATCCTTCAGAAATCATTCTAATATGCTGATTTGCTGCTCAAAAAACATCTCTTATTATCAATATTGAAAACAGCTGTGCTTAATATTGATATATTTTAATACTTTTTTAACAGTCAGTGGAAAAAGATGGTTTGGCAGTTAAACGGCCAAATATCCAACAAGAAGGAGCTGACTGAATCATGAACAATTTATATTTGACTGCAACAAAAAATTCAATTTTAAGCCTTCACATTTCGAAGATCATGAGCAACACATTCATTCAAACTTTCAGCTGTCTTATAAGACATACGATAACATTACGATGAGGTACAGATTCCTTTAGAAACCTCTAACGTCATTTCATTGGATATAATCTTTGAATCAGACGGCGCGTGATTCGGTACAGTCAGACAATAAAGCCCTGCAGCAGAGAAAGTGAAGGAAATGGTAAACAGATCAAAAGGAACGACAGGAAAGCAGAAAAATGAAGGATGAAGAAAATTCCTTCTGGGGCTCTGTAATCTTTTTAGGGTGCCTCTAACACCGCTTCAAACCTCCTCTGGAACATGGTGAACTGCCACGATTGGCTAGCCGAGCTAATGTGATTGTGGTCTAGTGATATCTAACGTTACTTTGTGTGTATGTTGGGAGAGATAGAGACTGAAAAGAAGAGGTTGAGTGTGCAGGATTTATGGCTGCTAATATAATCACAAGTACTGTTATCAAGTTGTACGACATTTACTGTAAGCCTAAGAGGAATCAAATACAGCAAAACCCACTATTATCTAGAAAGATAAGTGAGATCCAAAAGCAAACAGGCAGACTTTCTAGTCGCAGCATTAATCTTTATTTTACCAAAAGCCTATTCTCACTCTTCGAGTTGCACTAGTTAAAAATACCCAAACGCAGCAAGCCTGTTCAAATCATGTTCAAATCCACTTATCACAGAGTTTGAGTGACAGGGGTTGCGTCTATCGAGAGAACCCGTCTCTGTCTGCTTCAATGTTTGTCTCTGTGGCAATGCAAGAGGGAGCGACCCAGCATGGCACCCTCTCTAGTTTCAAATGCCACGGCAAACTAAGATCAGATAAGGCACACAATAGAAAAGATATCGCTAGTCTCATACCTCTCGCAACCACCAAACCTCTTTGAAGAAACACATGGATGCTTTGACAGATGGACAATTTTCACAGCATGGGAGACCACATGTTGGGGAACGGTTTGTGACCTCCTTTTTGGTCTCAAAAGAGAATTAGCATAAATGTTGACATACATGGCAGTACAATTTAAGGACTGGGACACTTTATGCTGCACATGTTTTTGTATGCAAAACTGGACTTCATCTTCATGTTTTTGTATAAAAACAGTGGCACCTTTTGCCATCTACATACAAAAACAATTGCTGAAAATACAGTGACCCTAATTAATTAGTAATTAAAAACACTATATAAACATGTATATATAAACACATACATACACTCTTTATATGTATTAAAAAAACGTATAAATATTTTGCTTAAAGTGTTTGTAATATTGATATTGCCTTTCTTTTAGATTTTTAAACTTGCAATTTATAGATTTCCTTTCCTTTAGTATTTTAATCTGTTATTAGATTACATAAATAATGAAACGTTTTCTTTAAATAATACAATTACATATAATTTTTATTTAATGCAATGGCATTCAAATGTTTAAGTGTACTGTATATAAATTGTAATTCAAATTAGATTTTTAATAGCACTTCTTAATAAAATCTTAATACATTAAGCCATTTTAAGTGGTTTAAGGAAAACGCTTAACGAGAGACTTTACGCATTGTGCTCATATTCTGCTGTTCTACAGATGACATGCCGGACCCTGTACGGGGGTAGAATTGTTGCATTATTCCAAAATAAATATATTATGATCCACAAATAAATGTAAAGAGATTTACCAAAATTTAAACACATTGAAAAATAAATAGAATGAGATCCACAAATAAATCTGAGTTTCACAAACATTAATGAAATTCACAAATAAATAAAATGAGATTTGCAAATAAAAAACATATTCACAAATACATTTTTATGTCACAAACACAAGTTTGCCTGCCATTCATTTGTGAATCGCCAAATTTGCATCAATGTTGAGAGATTCAATTAAATAAATAAAATAAAAAAAGATTGCACGTGACGTCACTTGCGGAAGCACAGGTGTCTGAGAGTGCATGTCTGCAGCCAGACCCTATTCAAAGCTTCTCAAATATTCATTATTTATTCATTTACAGCTCCTCATTAGCATATATAGCCTTTTCCACCCTAAAGCTATGACTTATATAACAACTGTTCATGAAAAACAAAAACGTTCATAAATAACCAATGAGAGGCCAGCTTACTCGACTCAAGATGATAAATGATAAAATATAAAAATGTGTGATGAGAGAGGAAATGGGTATCATAGAAGGAGAGAGGGTTCAGGGATTTAAAAGGCCAAAGATGCTTGACCAACTGAATTGTTAAACAAATGATATTAAATAAAGAACCAAAAAGGTAGGAGAAAGTGTGAAAACAGGCTAAAAGTGACAGGAAGAGAGCAATGCCAGTTTAAGAGAGTGTGCATGAGTCTGCGCATAGTAGCTGTTTTTCTGAATTGATTTTGCCAGCCAATGACTGAGTTTGCATATAAAAGGAAAAGCTAACAGCAGGGACATTGCTTCCGCATTGTATTCTCTGGCATGAGAAGAAAGCAGAGATACTGGTAGGGCCCACTGCGCACTACCTGAAACCACGGATGCAGGATGAGGGTAACATTCTTTGCTAATTGCTTTGGCACAGTGGCACGTTCCATCGCTAGTGCGACAGATTGGAGACGAAATTCATAGCATTCTGAGTCATATCAGATTAAACTTAATGCGTGTAGGATAGGAAACTGTGACATTTTATGTGGCATTCAAATAAAGATGATAGAAAAAAAAAGTAATAATTGCTGCCAGCTAAAATGGCCAGGGAATTTAAATACTCCCACATCCACTAGGATTTGGTGCCAATATGTACAAAGCAAACGTTTAAAAGACATAAAACTTGCATCCGAGCTCCCAGGCAGCTATTGTTTTCAATGGGGATATTAGTTTATCCTTAATTCAGCGGGGAGTTGATAACAATAATCACTAGGTTATTTGAGTTGTTTGAAGTAAACACAATACAAGCAGCTTCCAACTGTGCGTATGAATCATTATTCACTTGAACACAGAGAATGCTTTGAAATCCGTTAGATCCCAATACAAATAATAGACTGAAAGGTTTAATACGTCTTTATTTTTTCCTCAATACAGACAAATAAACAGCCATGAAAGATGATGCTTGTAAAAAGAGGACTGCACATCTTCAGGTTTCTCTTGTACATGTTAACCCGTTTCTTAAACAACACAGTGTGGGTTTATAGTATTAAAAGAAAAATACACAATCACTATACTACTGAAATGTTGGCATATAGATTGTCATGCTATGATGACCTTCAACTATGCAATGCTTGATCTGGGGGAAAAAAAAAAAGCAAATTAAAAATGATCAGATTGTATGCCCAGGAGTTCTGTAGATGTCAGTGTCTTGCTGTGCGTGTGTGTGTTTGTGTGTGTGTGTGTGTGTGTGTGTGAGAGAGAGAGAGAGAGTTCCCTGAGCACCGTGTGGTCGAGCAATGATGGGTAAATCAGGTGACAGTCTGGCGGCTGAACAGCTCGATGGTGACCGCGCTGAGGAACACTGGGATGCTCTTCTGATGGAAGAGATGCAGATCTACCAGTCCAGTTAGAGTGCGGGAAAAATCTGTCTCCAACAGCTGCATGCTGCCACTGCCCACTGGACCAGTAGACTGGAGAGAGAGAGAGAGACAGGGGAGAGAGGTGTCTGTTTAAACATTTGTAACATGACTACAGACTACAAACAAATCAAAGTAGCAAGTGCTAAACAAACAACTTTAACTGCAAAGGTAAAGTAACGAACAAAAGTTAAACTAACAAAAAGTTAGGTTTAAGTCACAAACAAAACATCACAAACAGTCAAACAAACTACTACTAGTGGCTAATTAACAGTTACTGCCTAACTAGCTAACAGCCACTAACTATCTCACACACAGGTACACACACTAGCTTGCACACACAATAAAATGTGACCCTCTCTGTGAAATCCTGGCTAAAGTCGCATAATCTAATTCTGAGATAAAGAGCGTCAAAGTTGTGATAGCCATAAAAATGATGAAAATAGGTCATTTGTGTTTATTGCTGTAAATGATAGATTATATCAATGGATTTGAGATACAGTTCTCTAATTTTCATCTATAACATGATAAATGCTGAAATTAATGATTTTATTGACACTGTTTTATTATTTTGTGCCAAAAATATAGTTTGCTCCCTAAATACTGATTTCCATCGTCTCTGGGTTTACTTTAGGAGCAGAAACACCTGCTGAATCTCATATCATTCAGTTTAGAAGCGTCTTTTCTATAAATAGAAACTGCGAACAGACCTTAATGTCAATCCACAAGAGCAAAAATCAGGTCAGAGCCGGGAAAGGCAAGAAAACTGCGACTTTAGCCGGGTTCTGATTTCTGTGTACATCACCGATGCACAATTTCAAGAAAGGCTTATGTTTTTTTGTTACTCAATATTCTGCCAAGATAACCAGCTTATTTTAAGGGCATTTTATGCCTGATACGTGTCAAAATAATTCGGTCTTTGGATGCTGATCATGACGCTGATGCTTCGGGTTAATGAATTCCTATCTGACATGAAGCGTGATGCTGTGAATGAGTCTGCATCGATCGCGAAAACAAAAACAAAATCAAAAACAAAAGAATAGTCTAGATCAGGGGTGTCAAACTCATTTTCACCGAGGGCCACTTCAACATTATGGCTGCCATCAAAGGGCCAGTTGTAACTGTAAGACTGTACAAATGTTACTACTCCTTAACATAGTTAAATAACTGTCTCTTTATTTTATTATTACTTATTTAAGTTACAAATATTGCATATGCATTTGCATAGATGTAAAAATATATGTAATTGCTCTGTTATTTTAACATAAATCCTTTTAATTTATCAGGTTAAGAAATCCAAATTACTCTATAAATCAAAGTAAATAATAAAGACAAGTATCATCAAACACAAGTCATTAACTTTGTTAAAAACTTTTTTTTGTTACATTTATGGCACAACAAATAATTGTGAGCTGCTAAGAACGTGTGACAGATATGGCATGAGCCCGGTCTCATGAAAATGCGTATCAATAGCACGATTTTCTGTTTCTATTTGGCATGCGATTTATACGCAGAAATTTACTTTGGCGTGCATATGATACGCACGTGTTGGGTGTGCATATGATACGCAATCAATGCTTGAAGTAGAAAAAAAAAAGAAGTGGTTGTACTCAACCCCACTCCCCCACCCAAAAATAAATAAATACAAACTAAATTACTAAAAAAGTACTTTTTAATTCTCATAATTCGCAATGAATGTATGTAGTGCCACAATAAATAAATAAAATAAAATTCATCAATAATTGTTTGCAATTCAATTCACATTTATTTGTATAGCACTTTTTTCATGATACACTGTAGCGAAGCAGCTTCACAGAAAATGAACATTTCTACATTACATTACATTTAGTAGTTTACAGCACTTTTAATAAAAAAATTGCACAAGTCAATCTGCCATACCAAACAGGAACACAAGGGGGATGCCAAAAGACCACTAAACGAGCTGTTTGCCATTCAAGTCACATTTATTTGTATAGCACTTTTCATGATACACTGCTGCGAAGCAGCTTCACAGAAAATGAACATTTCTACATTACATTTAGTAGTTTACAGCACTACTGTAAGTCAATCTGTGATACCAAACAAGAACACAGGGGACGCCAAAAGACCACTGAACAAGCTACCTTGACCTGACTGATCCAGATTTACTAAACCACTGACTACTGCGTAAACTAAAACACCTTAAGCCAGCATCCAGTATAAAACACTCGTGCTTTTCAAGCCAAATGGCTTGCTGATTTTTTTTTTTTTTACTGACATCTGTACTGATCGATAGAAAGCGTGTCCATTGTGAATGAATGGGAATCCACCTGCAAGCGGAGAGATTTGCACTTGCGCATTTGATGCGCTCTCGCATAGGCTATATAATGTGCTCTGGACATTTGTCATTAAAATAACTATATAGAAACAGCCACAAACGAACTATTAAAACGAGAAGAAAGTTGTGTCTGAAAGCCGCAATCGATTTTTTAAATTTGTTAAATGAAAGGAGAATATCGTGTTTTTCCATGTGTGCTGCTCGACTATTTCCGTCGGTGGTGCTCGAGCACTTGATGAGGTCCGCTTTATTCCTCTGAGCCGTCCACGCAGTCATCATCAACGGAAAAACCCTACACCCCTAATCCTAACCATTGCGTATCATATGCACACCAAAGTCAATTTCTGCGTATAAATAGAACGCCAAATAGAAACAGAAACTTGTGGTATTGATACGCACTTTCATAATTTACGGTATAAAGCAGCATAGATTTTTATTCAATCATATGCTCCCGTGGGCCTTGAGTTTGACACATGTGGTCTAGATGTTTAAAACATATATTTAAATAGGCCTATAATACATATTATTGCTGTTTTATTGTAAGCTAAAAAAACTCTTATGTATTAATAAAGTTTTATATGTCCTACGGAAACAAAGCACTTGCATCAGATATTTCGGTTTCGTTTTTTAGAAAAACAATATGCATGAATGAGAAAATAAAGTGCAGGACGTGCTTGATGAGTTATTAATTAAACGAGTTATTAATCGTGATAAGACGCAAAAAAATGTGTTATTGTATGTATTAATTACAAAATATTCAGTTTACTTGTAATGAATACATACAATGAAGACTATGCAGTGATAGTATTTTTTACATTTGATTATTCAAATATTGCTTTGATGCTTTTTGAACATGCGCATCATAATAAATAGACCTGTTTTACAAAACTAAGAATTTTCTCATAAATGTGTCATATCACTGAAAATGGGAAAACCTCAGCTTTAATGTGATATATGGCACATAGTCAGGATAATTACGGTTCAATTGTGTTGCAGTTTTAAAAATAAGCTTTTCTTTACATTGGAATTTCTCAAAAACATTATTTTCTGAGTCCGAAATTAAGCAAATCTTTGACATGGCCTTTGACTATCTATTTGATAAATTAAGTTAACCAACTAACATTATCCATACTCTTTTGGTTTCTGTACCCAATATTTAAAAAATTTACAAATGCAATGAAAATATTGGTATCGGTACTCGGTATCGGCAAGTACCAAAAATAAAAGTATCGGTATCAGGCGAGTACTGGAAAAAGTGGTATCGGTGCATCCCTAATTTTAACAATGTTTAACAATTTTATATAGAAAACAGTGAATCACAAAAAAAAAAGACAGCTGGGTTTTCACAGAGAGGGGTCGCAAATATTCCTTGTGCAGATTAGCTACCTAGATAGGTAACCAATTAACATCCATACAAACTAGTTAATAACTATAACTATTAACGGGAACTAACAAAAGTCTGTACTAAAACTAGCTAACAAGTCAAACGCCATTCTGGTTTATATCAAGCTGTGAGTAATGATAAGCTCTGAGTAAGACACAAGACTCAGAAGACACAAACTGCTGCTAAACAAGATTAAAAAACAAAAAACAAAACTAAGAGTCACTAACTACTAACAGAAACCATGTACGAAAAGTCACTAGCAAGTCAAACAACATTCAGGTTTATCAGGCTGTGAGTAATAAGCTGAGTAAGCAGAAGACACAAACCAACAAACTGCTGCTAAACAAGTAAAAAAAAATTAGTAACAGTCACTAACTACTAACAGGAACTAAGTAACAAAGGTCACTGAAACTGAATCACTCACTAACTAGTCTAACTAACAAATATTCACCAAGTCAAACACCATTTATGTCAACCTGTCAGTAATGATAAGCTCTAACCAACTAACTAATAATACGAATGCACCGAATGTTCGGCAACCGAAATTATTCGTCCGAAAATAGCAAAAAAAGCTCTTTCGGTGTTCGGCCGAATAAGCGAAAAGACCGAATAAATTGTACCGAACAATGATATGACGCGATCAAATAGCAACCAGCGCAGAGTGAGAGGCGCGCACTCTTTATTATGCAGCACACACGTCAGCAGTGTGGAAGCATTTAAACCTGTCGGAGAAAGACGCAAAAATCATTACAAGCACCGACAGCGAGAGACTGTTTAGGACTGCATCGCATGTCTTCAATGAGAAGAGGAAGGGGTGATTGTTGCTGGTTACTGTATGATGATTGAAATCGCACAATGGCCTTAAACAATTAGTAAATAAACTGCAGAACGTTATGTTTTCTAATACACGCACGCATTGCATGTATTCTTACAGCGCTGCACGAGCTCGCGGTGCTATCTGCTCGTTAGCCAGGGTTCAAAGTCCAAAGCACGAGGAAAATCTGCCCTGATACAGTCGTCAGCTGCTCAGTCACATAAATTGTTGTTTTGTAATAGATTTTTTTTCTTTGAAAAGCAAGACAAAACAGTAAAAAGCACATTTTGGTGTTCAGTATTCGGCCCAGTGTTTTATTTTGTTCGGTTTCAGCTTCGGCCAAGAATTTTCATTTCGGTGCATCCCTAACGAATAACTAATTAACTAACATTTACCAAGTCAAATATTGTTTGGGTTCATGTCAAGCTGTGAGTAATAAGCTCTTAGTAAGCAATAGAAACAAACCAACTAAAAAAAACTCCATAACTTAAAAAAAAAAAAAATCAGTCACTAAGTAACAAAAGTCACTAAAATGAACT